AAACTACATTACTACCAAACCAGCACTACAAGCAATTCTAAACAAGATCCTAGAAAAAGACGATGAAGGCAACAGTATCATGAGGCCCAACAGAGCAAATCAAATAGGCAAGGCAAGAAACTAAAAGGAGAAGGTGAAAAAGTAAAAAGAGTCAACAAAAGGTCAATAACATATCAATAATAAGTCAGTACATATCAGTTATAACCATCAAGCTCAATGGTCTCAACTCGCCAATCAAGAGAAATAGACTGGCAAAATGGCCAACAATATGTTGTATACAAGAAACATGCCTAATGCAAAAAGAAGCCCATAGACTGAAAGTGAAAGGATAGAAACCAATTCTCCATGTGACAGGAGCCCAGAAAAAAACAGGGGTAGCAATCTTATTTGCACACAAAGTAAATTTCAAACCAAAACTTATTCTATTATTATTGATGTAGGACGGTACTGTATCATACCTCTGTGAATGTAAAATATCTTGTACCTGCTTTATGATACATAGTAGTGACCATGCTTTATCAGAGCTATATTTAATGATATTACTCTAGAATGTTCTCTTTCCAAATGATGATTAAGATGCTAATAAAAAAAATGGTGCCAGGTACCACAACAGCAACAGAACTTTGCTGTTTTCTGGGTATTATTCTTTTCTTTGTTTTTCTTTTGTTTTGGTTTTTTTTAATGGAATGTGCTAATTTATTTCTTCATACTCAGCCTGTTTGACTCTGCCCCTTGATCGTCAAGTTTTAGCCACTATAGTGTTCTTTTATTTACTTAATAAGCATGCAAACCTGTATAAAGCCCGGGGCCTTTATATTTGCTGTTTCCCTGTGCAAGATGTTGTTTCCCTGTGCAAGATCTTATTTCCCTAGCTGTTTATGTGGCTGGTTGTTATTATGCAGGACTTGCTGGATATATGATACTTCTTTACAAGTCTTCCCTCAACTGCATTTGCTGTCATGTCTAATTTTTTGCGCTGTTGCTTTTTTAAAATTTTAATTTGTATCAGTACATGTTTGTAGTACATAATGATTACATTCATCTTGGGGACTTGTGCACTACCACGTCTTAATTATTATTTTTTTAATCCCCTTATCCTTTTCTCCCTCTACCTCCCTCCATCTCTTGGCTCCCTTCTCATTTGCAAAAGATTATTTTATATTTCATTTCTTGTTTATTTCCTTCATAGCCCTGTCCAAAGACATGATTGCTTTATGAAATTGCTTCTTGCAGGCATTCTTGACTCTGTTTTTCTTTTCTAGTCAAAGTTTCAGTAGACAGACTGTCTTCTATAAATCCTGTTGTATGGTTAGTATGTAGCATAGCACTGACAGGTAGTACTTTGTACTCTGGATATTTATTACCTCTAAACAATGTAGCAATGTTTAGGGTGGGAATTATGTGGCAACCAGAATAAAAAATTTCTTTCTCACCTTAACATTTAAACATATGCTAGGATAAAAATGAAACCAAAAATAAAATCATTTCAGGTATTGAAATGCCCTATGGTAAAAGGAAATGATGAACTAGAACACGTTTGTGGGGAAGTTACAAAAGAAGAAAGTTATCTGGACTGTCTTTGTAATTACAAAATTATGCTGCTGCAGCAAGTTATTGTTGAGTATGATATATTCTCTATAAATTTGAAAAATGTGGATTCACTTGCATTTTGCTTTAGTATTTTATGTTCCATGAACATAGTTAATGAACATCAAGACTTAGCCATTGATTGGGATAGTCATTAGTAAGTGAGAAGCATCAGTTCCTGTAACAAGCATTTGTTTTCTGTCCTCTGCTAGTTACCTGTGGTTCCCATCCTCGAGGAGCATTAGAGACAGGTAGAGGTGATAATTTTATAAAATTTTTTTGTCCTCTGTGACAGCTTCAGTAAGAGGAGCATACAAGGATCACGGTGGAACAAAGGCATGTTTTGAGACTTGGTTAAGACAAGGACTATTAAGGTAATACAGAGTTTGCTCTTGAAGGAATAAGGATTTGCTAGATGAAGACTTTATAGGCCATAGGACAGGATGGAGCAGACACAGAAACAGGATTCAGGCAATGTGTTCTGGAATCTGCAATCATAGGGAAATGTAGGGAGTAGTAGGCAGTAGGTTATAGGTCTCCTGATCTACTGTGGATGTAGATTGGACTTTACTCATGAGGCAGAGGTTTTGGATAGTTTGAATCTTGAAGGTAATGGAATTGTATGATTTGCATTTTAAAGAGGTCACTGGAGGGTAGGATATGGTGTCCATATCTCTGGTGATGGAAGGTACAGGATGAGGTCACCAAGGAGGGTGTAGAGTTAGAGAAGAGTTAGGGGTGAACCACAGAAGAACAGTGACTCTCTCAAGTGGGGAAAGAGACCTGGGATCCCTGAGGTGGCAGCAGATGAACACGCCATTGTGTCATAAAAGCTAAGGGAAGAGATCTGCTTCAGGAAGGAAGAAATGATGGGGGCGTGAGATAAAAACTTCAAACAGGAAGACTGGATTTCATCATAAAGAGACCTTTAGTGACCTTTGTAAGAACAGTGTTAGTGGGCTGATGGTGGCAATATCCACACTAAGGAGAGGTGAGCCAACAAACACCCTGAGGCAGACAAAGCCTGGCAGGGTTCTCCTTGGTTTCTGGCTTTTGTTTTTGTTGTTGTTTGGCTTTGATTTATTTTGTTTCATTAGATGGTAGTGATGTGACCTTGTTTGTGTCCTCTCCTGTGAGGGAGGAAGCACAAGCAGGAAGCTCTCAGTGCCGGGGAACTGGGTTTTGGTGTAACATTGTTTTAGTACATGTGAAGCAAAAGAAAAGGACAAAAGGCTATAGATGGTATAGCCTTTTAGGTGGCTAAAAGTAGGCAATAGAAGGTATTTACTCTGAGGGAGAAAGAGTGGATGTGAAGGGAGGGAAACAGAGGTGACTCTTGAGGGAAATATGTTAGGTAGACAAGGGAGTAATCATGGGTGACACTAGGGTTTCAGCTGAGCTGGAAGGCACCGGTGTGTGAAGGCCTGACTCCACCCGCAGCAGCCTGGACACCCAGTTCCGGATTGCGTGTTACCTGAGCAGGTCCAGCAGAGGCTGTAAAACATAGCAGTGCAGTTAGGATTAAAGCCAGGTCGCTCAGTAGAGAGAATAGCCTTGCTGGGGAGGTGAAGTGATGAAAAGGAGGTAGAAAAGGAAGAGTCCAGTGAAGTTAGAGGAGCTAGGCCCTTCTGTGTGGTGGCAGGAAGGCAGTCTGGGGAAGGCAGGGTCTCTAGTAAGCACTGTGCCCGAAGGACACATGTAAATGGATGCTCCTTACCCAGTTAACTGGAAAGATATTTATCCTGCATTTGCCCTGCCTTTGCCCATAATGGTGTGGGGAGCCACTCTTGGGATTGTACTCAGGATCTGCTGCCCTTCTTATGTCCCCTGGAGTCTTGGTGATTCTTAGCCTGTTTGGAGCTGGATTTGACTTTTACAAACTGTTTTCAAGGCCGAGTTTGCTGAAGAAAGCAGACAATCAAAATTCTGCTCTGTGTTTGATGAGATTATGCTACTTCTCCATTGCCTTGAGGTACCAGAAGAAAGTGACAGTTTTTGTCCTTAGATTCCTCTCTTTGTGAAGTAACACTGAGGTAGCAACCACCTTGAATAATATGGGAAGTAGCTGTCAACTACAGAGTGATGAAGCAAGAATGTGGATTTGCACCATCCAAATGGGGGAGTAGCACTTTCCTGACCCTGGAAGAGCAGTGCACACAGAATCCGGCCATGTGTGACTCTGCTCCTCCTGCCTCATCGTGATTCTTTTACCTGAGAATACACTGCTCTCCTTTGGGCTGCTTTCATCTCGGGCTTCCTGCCTGAGTTGGCTACTGAGCAGAAGGCAGAGAACATGACGTCTTTCTCAGTGGGAGAGCATTATTGGCATTCTGGGCAGACAGGTCTCCCTAGTGCGTGGGACTCCGGCACTGCAGCACAGTTGGCATCCATGGCTTCCTGGCCCTAAATGCCAGTAGCCCCCACAAGTCATCGTGACAGCCAGAAAAGATACCACACATTTCCAAATGCTGCTGGTTATTTATGGACTGCTCGGGCCTGGTAGACTTGTTTACAAACAGCCAAGGAAGAAAGATGTTCGTTCTGTATTCTCAGTTTATCTTCTTTCGTTGTGGTATGAGAGTTATAGAAATAGGAAAAAGGAATCTTTGTTAAAGAATGATTGAAAATGAATTAATAATTAGGCAAGGCAATGGGAAAATAGAAGAAAAGGAATAGAAAATTGAATAGCAAGACAGGCATGCATGGTGGTGCACGCCTGTAATCCCAGCACTTGGGAGGCTGAGGCAAGGGGATTGAGGTGAGTTCAAGGCCAGCCTGGGCTACACAGCAAGTTCAAGACCCAGTCTTTAAAAAAAAAATTGACTAGTAGTAAGGAAACTGGAATAAATATTTCTGCCGCATTTTTCTCTGGGTTTCTTGCAATTTTCGCAGAAGCCAAGAGTAAAATTTCTTGTAAGAACGCTCATGTGTTGTTACATCAAAGGGTATAACTAACTGATTTCAGAGGTACCCTAAATAGATTTTATCTTAAATAGTTAGAATTTTGTAATGGCTTAAACCCAGTCTTTTAAAGAGGACAATTTGCTATAAGGCAAGTCTTGTTTTATTACATATGAGGGGATTTCATTATTGATAGCCCCATACCCCTTATTTTAAAACAGTGATACTTCTCTACTTATCCTGGATTCTGAACACCAAAATATCTTTAGCTCCTATGTAGCAAGTTTTTAATTTTAATTTTTACAATATGAAGTTCCCTTATGGTGTCAGTATCCTTTTACAGAAAAACTAAAACAAAGCAAAAACCAGTATACCTGGCTAGGGTTGAAAATTTCTGCCCTTTAGTTTACTGTAATTGCTGAAATCATCTGTAATGTCTTGTTAAAATCTGCGCTAACACTTGTAGACCATTCATGCCATACTGAAGCTGATTTTCTACTTTATTTTTTCAGTTATTCATGGTGGACAATGGAGCAGATGACTGGAGAATAGCCATGACTTATGAGCGTATTTTCTTCATCTGCTTGGAAATACTGGTGTGTGCTATTCATCCCATACCTGGGAATTACACGTTCACATGGACGGCCCGGCTTGCCTTCTCCTATACCCCTTCCACAACCACTGCTGATGTGGACATTATTTTATCTATACCAATGTTCTTAAGACTCTACCTGATTGCCAGAGTCATGCTTTTACATAGCAAACTGTTCACTGATGCCTCCTCTAGAAGCATTGGAGCACTTAATAAGATAAACTTCAATACACGTTTTGTTATGAAGACTTTAATGACTATATGCCCAGGAACTGTGCTCTTGGTTTTTAGTATCTCATTATGGATAATTGCCGCATGGACTGTCCGAGCTTGTGAAAGGTAAGTTTGTTTCTTTTCCTGAGAACGTAATTTTCCATATAGTATCTTCAAAAGGAGGAGAAAAGATATTTTAGACTTATTCTTGAAAATTTTGGATTCTCTGACAAGCTTCTTTTAAATGACTATGACAAAGTCTTCTTCAAGATTGTTGCATGGAGCAAATTCCTTCACCATTGTGTGTTTTTCTTTCCAGTTTGATCGGTTTTTAGTAGAGGATTGGCTTTACAGTCTGTGCCTATATTTCGAGACCAAGATTTTTCTTGGATTTGTGTATTGGAAATGTCACTTAAGGAGTCAGTTTTGTGCCTGAGTGGTTATAAGCATTGATCATTGTTGCGATAAAAATCCTGTTGAAAAGTGCGGATGCCTGAACTTCAGGGAGTGTCTTAAAGTGGTTTGTTGACCTTACTGTGTATATATATTAGTGTTCACATGCTTTCTTGGTAAGGAGCTTATGTATGCGTTCCCACAAGTTTTTATTGGACTTTCAGGAATTAGTAATTAGTGTTCACACTTTCTTGGTAAGGAGCTTATGTATGCGTTCCCACAAGTTTTTATTGGACTTTCAGGAATTAGTAAAAAGAGGCAGTGTTTGCTGGTTTTATTGACTGAAGAGCTCAGGTCGTCTGGAGCTAAAAAGACCTTGTCAGGTTTTAGGAGATGCTTTCTAAATCTGCATTAATCAGTTATAGCACCAATAATGTTCACTTTGCCATTTAACGAACAAAAAATAGATTTATAAGTGACGGGAAGAGCTATATCAAAATGAGGTCACGAACAACGTTTCATGACCTTGGGTAAGAAGATTCAAGGTACATTGGTCTCAGAAAGATGAGAATGACAGGTTTGTAGGACTGTTAAATGTCCCATGATGGTCATTGTAGTAATTAGGTTTTTGTAAAACTTAATTTTTTAAAATAAAAGTTAAACACATATAGTTTAAAGAAGAAAAAAGTCTGTATGAGAATTGTTGTCATGCCCCACCACCACCACCAAAGGGGGGAAAAAATAAATCCATAACGTTCTCCACTCGATTTCTACTTTTTGGCAAAGATTTCAAATTTTTTTAACTGTTCCTTTGGTAATTATTTTTCATATTTCTCAGTAAAATCGCTTATCTTGCTTCATCCAGATGTTTCTGTTTTTAGAGCTACTTATTGACTTCATATTATGGCAGTTAGGGTTTTAGCTTTATTTCCCTTATACACACCCTTTTACCATCCCCACAGCTTGCTAGTAAATTATTGATCCCAAGAATCTGTAGCTCATATTTATATATTTACATTGTTTTGACTATGTAAATTTCTTTGAAGCTAAACAATACAGGGTATCATAATTTTTCCTTTTTGCACACCTTTCTTTGAAATTAAAAATTTATTTTATTCCTTATTTTTATTTCCTTTTTTGTATACTTCTAAATTTTCACACATTGTTTAAATATTGTTTTATTCTATTTAAATCTATCATTTTCAACTTATAGAAATAACTCTTCGAAATTTCTGACCTCCCTCATGTTCAGAATATATTTTCCTCATTTTTATGTTCAATACTCTTATTTGTTGAACATTCTTTTGCTACCTTTCTTCATTTACTGCTTTATTTTGGTAAATCCACCTGCTAGTCTTTTTTTTTTTTTCTTTTTCTTTTTGCAGTACCAGAGATCAAACTTAGGACTTTGCATTTGAGAGGCAGTTGTGGCACCACTGAGCTAAATCCCCGGCTTTGCCCGGAGTTTCTCAGAAAATATAATGCATATGAGAGAAAATTTTTGAGACTTTAATGATATGGCAATATTTATTTTTTTCTTATAATAATATTACTAGGTATAAAACTGTAGATTGGAAATCACTTTGCTGCAGAATATCGAAAGCTTTGTTTTCCTTTGGTGCTCAAAGTCCAACAGTCCAATATTATTTTCATATTTGTTCTTTTTCTGCATTAAGAATTGGTGTTCTAGAATTGTGCAAGGATATTGGGGTTACTGTTTTAGTCCATGCCACTGGAAGCTTAGTGGGTCTGTTCAATCTTTCTTGGAAATTTAAAAATATTACTTAATGTTTCCTTTTGCTGTGTGGGTAGCAGCACAAAAAAATAGATCTCAGCAGTAAATATATAGCAGCCTTTACTTACTGACATGGCTCTAGTGCAGCACTGCTCCTCTCCTTAGTGTTTGAAGCCCTCCTTTCAATCCATAGATCTGTTTTGCCCTTGCAGATGATAAATCTCTAGACTAGTGGCAAATTAGCAAAGAAAAACAGAATGCAGAGAATAAAAGGCAGAATCTAGATGTTAAATTTTGCAGCCTTTGAACCTGTCCTCCCATTTAAAGCTCTGACATTGTCCCTTCCTTCAGGGGTGCTGGTCCTCAGTGGCCTCAGTCTGGGTCAGTGGAAAGATGCTTTGATTCTCAGTACTTGTAGGATCGCTTCTTAATTTTTCAACAGTTGCTCTAGGATTCTGCTTTTTTGAATCAGCTAAGTCTGAAAAGTCAGCTTTCTAGCTTCTTTTTTTACCATCTTGTCACTCGCTGTTGTCTTGATGGCTTTATAATTTTTTCTTATTTGTTTAAAACTTATTGTCATTTAAAAGGGATTAGGCAATGCCAGCATGTTTATTGAGTCCACTAGTTTTTGGTGGAAAATTTTCAGTGATTTTTTTTTTTTAATATCATGCATCTGAGTCTTTTTTTTTTTTTGAACCTCTCTACATAAATACGGCACTTGAAGGATAAAAGTTTTCTTTTTAAAGAAAGGTAGACTCCTTATGTTAATGCTTTGTTTTCTTACAGTCATAGTATTTACAATATTTTGATATTTTCTGCAACAGATGTGCCTATAAAGTTTGAAGAATAAATACAAAAAACTTTTGTTGGCATACCTATTCAGTTTATAAAGATTAGCCTAAGATAAAATGTATGCCTTACAATGTTAAGAATGGATGTAAAAGCACAGTTTAACCGTATGTGCATGTTCATGGGTGGTCTCTAGTGCATCTGTTCCCTGGGGCTCGATTAAAATAACCTCAAAGTTGTGCATATGCCATGTGTTTTCTCTTAAATAAGATTTCATCTTGGCTGGTTTAACCTATTGTCACTAAATGCAGAAAATCATAGTACAAAGGATGTGTGTTTTTTTAATAAGGTGCTGAAATTAGTAGATAATGGCCATTCCTGTTTTCATATTAAGAGGCAGTAAACACGGAAAATTGATTGCTTCATAGCAAGATGAGACTCTGTAGTCAGCAATCACACAAGGGGAACAATCAACAAGTCTGGTGTGTGGGCGAGACAGAGGCTAGAATCGGAACTGGGACTTGAGATTTAGTTGCATTTTTGTGCTGTAAGGGTTGAGTGACATCAGGATAACTATCTTATTCTTGCCTTGGCTTCCTTCTTCTTTTGCAAACTAAATGTCTTGATAAGACTTCCTCTTTCAAATTTAACACTGTATAATTAGACAAATGTGTATGGAAAAAAATGTCATTCCCCAGCATCATGGTAGTGTATTTTCCACACTTGATTTTCATTAAACTTCCCATTATGTTGAACAGAATCTCTAGATTGTGACTGTAAGATGCAGAGATTTAGTTGAAAACAGAAATGTTTTCCCACAAAGTTTAAATTTTGAACATGGTGTCACCGGCAACTTACACTTCCTTGAATGTTTATTTTCTGCGTAGCTTGCCTTGCCTTCTTCCATCTCTCCTCTCTGCTCTCCTCTCTTCTCTTCCTTCTCCCCTCCCTCCGTCCTTTCTGTCTGTCTTTTGTGAAGTTCCCAAGACTTAATACATGTAGCCCTCCTATTTATTTGGTTTGTGGTATGGGTTGGAGGAACGCCCACAGTTCCATCTTTGTTCCGTCTAAGCATGCCCTCTGGATTACAGGGAGAGGGTCATACTTGATAAAAATTCTCTGTTTAGTTAATGAGAAGAATTCTCGGAATATATTAATTCAGCAGCTTTCTGGAGAAGTTTTTTTTTTCTTCTCAAAACTTTCCTTGCCCTACCAAGCACCAAATTCTACAAGTTTCTTGAAAAATGTTCTCTCCTAATGGGGATGGCATCTTATAGGAGGTGTCTATTCTTTATGACCTCTCTCCCACTCCCATACATCCTGCACTTCTGATTTATTTATTTGTAAATTTTATATATAGTATGCGTATTTATGTTTGTATTTATATATGTGTATATAATTTTTAAATATGTATATTTTATATTTTCTATAAATATAAATAAGTGAATGTTTGTTAGATATGAATAATTCAGTGAATGAGTGAGTGAATGATAGGAGCATGCTGAGTAGCAGGTCCTTGGCATTACTTCTGTGGCCTCTATTTGTTTGTTAGTAGCTTTCCTGGACCGTGTGATCTACATGCTCTTTGATTCAAGTTTGGCCTTATATTGAGGTGGACTGCAAGCCTAGGAAGAGTATTTTCTTCTGAAGCTCTCTGTTAACTGTGACTTGGTGCTGATAGATTTTTTCATGGGGGTAGAGCAAAGCATTTAATCAGAATGTATTAGGAGAAACTTCAAGGATATTTATGTCGTAGAAGAAACCTGAACCCCAGAGCTTGATGTGAATTGGGAATTATCTGATCTTGGCTTGCACCATCAGGGCCTGTCTTGTAAAGACCCTTGGCAGCTATTTAACCCGTGTGTCACCCCATACACTGTTCCTGAGGAAGATAGGAAATGTTTTGCAAGGAGAAGACCTGTATATTGTGGGCCAGTGCTGTGTTAAAGTATTTTGTGTTTTGTTTTGCTTCTTTTTCACTCTGAAGGTTCTGAGAGCACTTAATGTGTGAATGCATATAGGCATTTCTAAGGGGAAAAAGTGGTATTTATTTGGACAGGTCTTCTGGAACACATACTCAACCTGATATTACAGAAATTTCCAAGAGAAAGGATTTCCAACCTATTCTGCACAGTTGGGAACTTTAAAAAATGTTTCTATGTTCTATAGATTCTTTTTCTTTCAGCAACTAACTTTGTAGGATTGGGGC